GGTCTGTATCACTATGAACTTCCCTCTTAGAACTGCTTTTGCTGCATTACATAGATTTTAGTATGTTGTATTTCCATATTCATTTGTCTTAAGGTATTTTTTAAAATTTCTCCTTTGATTTCTTCATTGACCTATTGGTTGTTCAGTAGCATGTTGTTTAATCTCCACATATTTGTGATTTTTTGCAGTTTTCTCCTTGTAATTGGTTTCTGCTTTCATATTATTATGGTTGGAAAAAATGCTTGAAATGATCTTCTTAAATCTATTGAGACTTGTTTTGTGGCCTAAAATATAATCTATCCTAAAGAGTGTTCCATGTACATTTGAGAAGAATATGCACTTTGCTGCTTTTGGATGAAATGTTCTCTATACATCTATTAAATTCATCTGGTCTAATGTGTCATTTAAGGCAAATGTTTCCTTATAGATTTTCAGCCTGGATGATCTATCCATCGATATAAGGGGGTATTAAAGTCCTCTATTCTTATTGTATTGCTGTCAATTTTGCCCTTTAGGTTTGTTAATATTTACTTTATATATTTAGGTGCTCTGATTTTATGTGCATAAATATTTACATACGTTATATCTTCTTATTCAATTGACCACTTTATCATTATGCAATGCCCATCTTTGTCTTTCAGTACAGCCTTTCTTTTAAACTCTATTTTGTCTGATGTAATTATAGCTACCCCAGCTTTCTTTTAGTTTCCATTTGCATAAAACATCTTTTTCCATCTGTTAACTTTGAGTCTGTGTGTCCTTACATCTGAAATGAGTCTCTTGTAGGCAGCAGTTAGATGGATCTTTTTTTGTTTTTTAATAATTCAGCCACTTTATGCTTTGATTGGAGCATTTGGTCCATTTATATTTAAAGTAATTATTGATAGTTATGTACTTATTGCCACTTTGTTAATTGTTTTCTATTTTGAAGTTCCTCTCTGTTTTGTTCTTCTTCTTTTGCTCTATTCCTTTGTGGTTGGATGACTTTCTTTAGTGTTATGCTAAGATTCCTTTCTAATTTTTTTGTGTGTATAGGTTTTTTACTTTGAGGCTCACATATGACAGCCTGTGCTTGTGTGTGTGTGTGTATATACTGATATATATATATATATATATATATATATATATATCAGTCTTTCATAAGTTGATAGCAAGTTTGAACATATTCTAAAACTCCACATTTTTACTCTTCCAACACATTTTGTTTTTGATGTCACATTTCACTGTATATCCCTTAACTAATTATCGTAGTTATTGTTATAACTTTTCTCTTTTACACTTCATACTAGCTTTATATGATTAATCTACTATCTTTACTATATATTTACCTTTACCAGTGAGAGTTTTACTTTCACATGTTTTCTTGTTATGAATTAGTGCCCTTTCTTTTCAGCTTAAAGAAGCCCCTTTAAAATTTCTTGTAAGGTCAGTTTAGTGATTATTAACTCCTTTAGCTTTGCTTGTCTGAAAAACTCTGTCTCTCCTTCAATTCTGGATGATAAATTTGCTGCGCAAGGTATTCTGCTTGGAAGTTTTTTTATTTCAGCACTTTGAATATATCATGCTACTCTCTTCTGGCCTGCAAAGTTTCTGCTGAAAAATCTGCTGATAGTCTTATGGGGGTTTCCTTGGATGTAATAAGTATTTTTATCTTTATCATTAACTTACGATATCTTAATTATAATGTGTCTTGGTGTGGATTTCTTTGGTTTCATCTTATTTGGAACTCTCTGTGATTCCTAGACCAGCATACCTGTTTCCTTCCCCAGGTTAAGGAAGTTTTCAACCATTATTTTTTTCAAATAAGTTTTCTGCCCCCTTTCTCTCTCTCTCTTCTCCTTCTCCAACCCCTATAATGCAAATGTTATTCCACTTGATGTTGTCCCATAGGTCCATTAGGCTATCTTCAATTTTTAAATTTCTTTCTTTTTTGGGGAGGGTGCTGCTCCGTTTAAGTTAGTTCCACTGCCCTGTCTTCCAGGTTGCTGTTTCTGTTCTTTGCTTCATCTAGTCAGCTGTTGAAGCGCTCTAGTGTATTTTTTCAGTTCGGTTGTTGTTTTCTTCAGTTTTGTGACTTCTGTTTGGTACTTCCTTACATTTTCTGTCTCTTTGTTGAAGTTCTCACTGTTGTTGTTCTCATCCATTCTTCCCTCCAGTTTGGTGAGCATTTTTATGACCAGTACTTTGAACTCTTTATCAGGTAGATTACTTATCTCCATTTCAGTCCTTTTTCTGAGGTTTTATCTTATTCTTTCTTTTGGAAGATATTCCTCTGTTTCCTCATTTACTTGACCCTGTGTTGGTTTTTATGTATTAGGTGCAACAACTACCTTTCCCAGTCTTAAGGATTGGCCTTGTATAGGAGATGAACCTTTCTAGCTCAACCTTGTCCTAGCTCTTGGCTTTCTCTCAAACATTTTGATTGTCTGAGCAGCCTAATTTATTCTTGATGTCCCATTTGTTGAGCATGTGTGAAAAGGAGAAATCTCAATCAGCCTGTTGGAAGCCATACACTCAGGCAGCATTTTTTAAAGTATGCCAACATACACAGTCTTATGAATGGCACCTCATTCGTAAGCCCTGCTGGCCTCCAGACCAGGTGATCTGGAAGTGTCCCATGGGTTACAGTTGCAAAAACTGGGGCTCTAGATGAGTGTATAAGTTCCTTTCTGGGACGTACTAGTGAGCTGTAGTGAGGCCAAGGGAGAACGCAAAGATGGCTCCTCCAGCCTCATTCCTGAGAGCTCCTCTGTAGCCTCTAGATGTGTGGCAAACATGAAGCCTGACCCACAAGCTGACGCTCTGGGACAAGTAAATAGGCCTTTTTCACAGGCAGACTTGGGGTGTGTTTCAGTCTGATGTCTGTGCAGTGCCCTGGGACTGGTAGCCTGCCAAGAACTGTCTCTCCAATTGTTTCAGTCCTGTGGGGCCCAGAAATGCAAGCTCCAGCTACCAGAGCCAGGCAATCAAGGATCGTTTCCTGTGTGAATCACATTTGCCTACAGCTTTAGCGAGGCAGCAGGGGAGTGCAGGGTCAAGGCATGCCCACCAGCTTTATCGAGGCAGTGAGAGAGCACAGGGTTGGGGAGCACCCACTGTTTTTTGCAAGGGAATGGGAGAGCACAGGCAAGGGGCACACCCTCAGGCTTTAGTGGGGAAGCTGGAGAGGGCAGTGATTGCACATGCCTGTGGTGCTAGCAAGGGAGAGGGAGAGTGCAAAAAGAGAGAGCTGGGGGTCAGGCCCCTGACCCTAATGCTTTAAGATTAGCAAATGAACCTCCTTCACATTCAGCCTACAAGCTTTTCAAGTTGCTGCTTTTGCGCTGGGTCCCTGGGAACGTTAGTTTGCACACAAGCCCTTTAAGAGGGGAATCTCAGTTCCCTACAGCCCTTTGGGTCTCCTGGATGTAAGCCCCATTTGTTTTCACAGCCAGACGTTTGGGGGGCTCTTCTCTCTGGTGCAGGTCCCAGGGGTTAGGGTGCCTGATGTGGTGCATGAGCACTTCATTTCTCAGGGAAAAGCTCCATATTTGTGAGATCCCTACAGATTGGGGCTCTCTGTGCAGGGGGTGAGGTTTCTGGTGAGAATGTATCTCTCCCTCTCCTACCTGTCTCGATGTGGCTCTTTTATCCTTTGTTGTGGAAGAGCTGTTCAGCTAGTTTTCAGGTCTTTTTCAGAGGGACTTGTTCCATATGTGTGTGCATGGGAGGAGGTGAATTCAAGATCTTCTACACAGCCATCTTGAACTTTCTCTCAAGACTGTGGAAGGATTATTTTAGATTAGTATACTTTGTCTTCAAGAAGGAAAGTCCAATGTATTATATGTACATGGGTGGGTGGTGAGGAGTGAAGGGCACAGTCAAAGGCAAGGATTCTGGGAAACTAAAGGCAATCATTAGGATGTTGGATGCCAGGAGTTGGAGTTGAACTAGAGAAGGAGCAGAATAACACAAGACAAATGTTTCTATTTCACAATTTTAATTTAAGCTGAACTTAATCCTGAGGTAACTCAATTCTTCTTATTTGAAAATTTGCTCTACTTTATTTCTAAGTAAAAACATTGATAGTCTCTTTGTTTTGACTCAAAATGTTCCTGGAAACTAGAGCATTAAGAATGTTTATGAAGCAGGTTATGATTTCCTTTAGGAACAGTTCTGAAACTGAATATAGAATATCTGACCCAGGACTCAGCATTAGATACATCATAAATATGACCAGCCATGTCTCATGACGATTAAGAAATTACTATAAATACCTACATATAACATATAAAATTAAAATACCAATTCTAGAAAATGGTCATGGATAAACCAAACACCTCTTTAATACAAAGGACTCCAACAAACTATACGTTTAGAGGGGAACATTTAAAGATGTATGTTTCATTGGCCACTGATCTTTTCTGTGGTCCATCTGCTTATCTGAAGTGTCTGAGTTACTGAAGGCAGTGAGCTAGTGAAAAGCTGCCTGAACCAGGCAGCAGCAGATTTGGGAAGTTCGCTTCACTTCTGAGTCTCACTTACAGTCCCTTTCCATTCATTCTAACATTCTATGGAACTAAACTATTTTCTAAAATTAATATGTTAGCTATAATAAACATTAAGCAACAAATTCAAAATAATTTCTTGTGCCATCTTAGAATTTGGAAGACTTTAGGGTATGCTGGATGGTCCTGCTTTAGAAGGTTAAAGAAGTTTGAAATGATAATTTCTGTTTCTTTAGCTACACATTGGTGGCAAGTAGAACCTTCTAAATCATTTTCCTCCATTATCAGAGTGTGTTCACAAAGTATTTACCAGTGGTGCTGATGGTGTGGTTTCTGTTATTGAAAAGCATTTTACTTTTCATCTAATCATCTACTTTCCCTTTTACTCTCCTCTAACTCCTTAAATAGTTCAAAGTTACCCACGTGGCAGCTTAGAGACAGACCAAAGCAAGGCACCAAGACACATTGAGTGAGGTTTCAATTGCTTTGTTAAGCGTTTAGCCACAGGCTTACCTTGTTAATCTGCTAACAATTACCACCAGGTCATTAGCAAAATCTTGTAAAAAGGAGTTATAAAAACATCTCTCACAGAATCCTCAAAAAGACAGAATACCTTGAATGTAGCTTCCTTTACCCCTCGAAACAGGCAGGTATAGGTGGCATGCAGGAAGCCTGTGTGCTAATTAGGTGATAGCCAAAAGGCAGAGATAAAGAGTGAAGTTTCCTATAGAGAAAAAAAGATAGTTGATTTCAGCAATTTTCACATGAAAAGGTTAAAACTCATTTATTAATACCGAAACGCCATTTAAAATTTTATTTACTTATTTTTAATTGAGTATAATTGACATACAGCATCATATTAGTTTCAGAGGTACAATATAATGATTTTATATATGCATTTATTTGAAATGAGCACTACAATGTCTAGTTAACATCCATCACCACACCTAGTTATATATTTTTAAATATTATTTAAAATTCATCATCTTAAGTGTTGATTTCTCTTGCAAATTAAAAAATATTGAATTCAATTTGTAAAGAGATTTAAATGAAAAATTTGCTCTAGGATCCTGAACATTATTAATTTAAAGTCATCTATTTTTATAAATTAGCTGTATCTCTTGACTATAATTTTCTTGCCTTCCCCTATTTGGAAAATGAACAAATTTTGTTAGAATGACAAATTCACTAAAACTGGAGAGAATACTAAGGTTCCCAAATGTTGCTTTAGCCCTTCTCAAATGTAAGATCTTGAATCTGTTTAATTTCTTCCTGTCTTAGGAATAAAACATTAAACTGGTGAAATTCCTCAAGATTTACAATTTTTAAATTTTACATACTATATTGTTAAATATATGGTATATAGAAATATAATTATATAATACTATTTTTTAAATGCTAGAAACAAAAGTAAGATAGAACTTACAACAGAGCTAGCAAGACCAGAATGAATAGCTCATCTATTACAAGCTCTGCCCAAAGGCAATGTTATGTAAATTCAATTTATAGATGTTGAATAGCTTCCCCAATGTTGGCCTTTGAAAAGCTCTACACTGATATTTTCAAGAAACTAGCAGCACACTCCAACCTGAAAAAGTAATACTATGAAGACGCTGCCATTAGTGATTTTATGTACTTCTACATAACCTTCTTGAATTTGAAATAATGGATAAGTTCAGGTAATAATTTTTGTTCTCTTTCAAATTTTATGACTTCAGTATTGAGTTGTGTTTTATGACCTACATTTATTATATTCTGTAGAGTCAGCCAGCAGCTTTAGGCAAAGAATACCTTCAGAGTCTGAAATCAGACTTTGGGAAGAAATCAGAGGTTTAAAATGAGTAATCATGTATTTTGGAAGCATAGGAATTTTCCAAAGATTTTGAAAAACAACCAAATACTGCATACTGTGTAATATATGAGCAATAATTTCCCAGTACTCTAGACAGCTTCTTTTTCTTTTGTGGCTAGGATAATTATCTATTCATGTACGGGCAAGGATTGTTGCTATAAAACTTAATTTCTTCCAGAGCAGTTTTGGTATTTTTTTTTGGAGGAAGAGTTTGTTTAGCAAATTGTACACTGACAACGGTGAGGAATTTTTAGTTACGAGGAATTCTGACAAGGTCACAGGAATTATCCAGTCTCAGTTTCCAGTCTTGAGTCACATTGAAAGAGTGAAATTTAAACAGTGGTAAATTCAATAACAAGTAACGTTACATAATATTTACATGACAGGACAAAATCTAAAACTTCAGACCTTTTTCTCTTTAAATTAGGTTCTCACGCTAATAGACCAGATATAATTTGTTTATATAACTTGCTTAAAAAGAATGAGGACCTGGCTTCTATAGGAGAAAGAGATCGAAAGAGGAAGATTCTGACCTGGGTTATAATCCTGTTGCGCTCCTAGCTTTCTAGAAGGTCTTAGAGCTATCACAGTACTTTGATAAGCTTTGCTTTCTTTATTTACCAGTATGTGAGCCAAATATTTAACCTGGCTGTGATGAGATAGTAAATGAAAGCATTTAAAAAATATAATGTAAGTTATTTATTAGGGAAAAGCACATGCTAGGCACACTTAGTTTTCATGGTAATATAAACGTCATAGGCTGACTAGGTTGTAAATTTGGTTACTTTTATGGCTTTTAACACTAAAAAATTTCTGCACCAGGGGCTGTCTTTAAGTTGTATTTGTGGCTAAACAGATCTACCCTCATTTTGAGTACTCACTGGCCATTATTAATAGTGATAACTAAAATCTGGTTGAAGTATCTTTAAAAGTATGCAGTATGTGATAAATTCCATGACATGACTGAGGCATTTGAGAAATATTTAGTTTTTTAGAATTTAGGTCAAGAGCAGAAACAAAATTATAATTTATGCATAACCTCAATTTTTTTCCCTCAAGTACACAGAAAGAACAAATGTACTATGGATTTTCTTTGAAGAGGTTTGTAGTTATTATGTTTGTTTTACTTGTTTTTACATAGGGAACCTTTGTTGGCCTTTAAAATGTAACTTAGCAGTGTAACTGATGTATTTTTGCCAACAATAAAACAAATACATATGACAAAATAAATGCATACTCATTTCAGCCCGTAAGATCTGTTTTAAAATTATTTTATTTGCAGACAGGGGAAACATATGAGATCATTTCTTTCCCCTCTGCCAAAGACAAGCTGATTTCCCCAACCCACGTGTACAGTTGAGCAGTAAGTCTAGCATGCTAGCGCGCTCGACTCTCCGGACTTGTGTCTTGCCATCTATGGGGACACACGCATCCGTGATAGTGCACTGGTTGGGGCAAGACTCAGTAGGCAAGGCATCTCCGGTTCACAAGAAAATTGTGCTGACCGTGTAGCTATCCCGTGTGCCTGCCGCATCTGCCCACTGGACAGGGAAAGAAAGGGTGCTTGGTGTAGTGTACACAGCTGTTCCTATCCACTCTCTCCGACGTTATACACTGTACTCCTCTCCCCACGTGCGTTCCAAGGGCAGGATCACAAACACACACACACACACACCCGAATCTCTCCCAGCCGTCACCCGGGACGCGTCGCCCGCTCACTCCGACCTCCCCGCCGCTGGCTCCGCGGCGTCTCCCAGCCACCAGCACCCCACATGGGCGTAACCCCGCGCCAGGCGTCCGCGCGGCCCACGGAGGCCCTAGCCGGCCCCCGCGTTCGAGGGAAGGCGCGGCCCCGGGGTCGGACGGACAAAGTGGGCGTCCAATCGAGCCCGGCACTGCCTCCCCGAAGGGAGGGAGGGACGGCTCTGACGGGCCCAATGAGCGGGGAGCCCGAGTGGGACTTCCTCCCGGAATCCCGTTGGCCAGAATAGCTGGGCCGTGGGTGACACGTAAGTTAAGTGGGAGGCGGCGGCGGCCGAGGCGCCGCAGCCCCGTCAGTGACACCGGCCCGCCGTCCCCCAAACCCGGCCGGGGCAGCCGGCCCCCACCCAACTACTCACCCCCGCGGGCCGCGCGCTGAGGCGCCGCCTGGAGCCCGGCTCCCTTTGTTGGGCGCGCACCCCCTCCTTTTGGTGGCAACAAAGTCGCGCAGTGAGAGCTGCCGCGAGGGGGCGGGGAGCGGCAGGGGCGGGACTCCGAGAGCCGCCGGGGGCAGCCGGGCCAAAAAGTGGGGAGGAGGGAACAAGGCAGGCGGCATCTGCGGACCGGCGCGAGGACAGCCCGCTCAGAAGTATGCGGAGGGCCCCCTCCCGGGCCCAGGCACTCAAGGAGAGTCAGCCTCGCCAAAGTTTGGCGGCGGTGGCTGCCCCGGCGGCATCGATGGCTGCACGCCCCGCGGCGCGCGGAGGCTGAGCGGGCGCCACTTACCCTCCGGCCCAGCTTTTGTGTCTCGCGTCTCCTCCTCATGCTGCGTCCGGCCACCTCCTGCGGCGGCCGCTGCTGAGGCGCCCGCTCGGGCCGAGGGGAGGAAGGGACGGCGGCGGCGAGGACGGCCGCGGCGCGGGGTCCCGACGGGACTATGGGAAACGGGATGTGCTCCCGAAAGCAGAAGCGGATCTTCCAGACGCTGCTGCTGCTGACCGTGGTGTTCGGCTTTCTCTATGGCGCGATGCTCTACTACGAGCTGCAGACACAGCTGCGGAAAGCCGAAGCGGTGGCACTCAAGTACCAGCAGCACCAGGAGTCCCTTTCCGCCCAGTTACAAGGTACGGTTAACGGGACGCGCGCGGCCGGTGGCCAACTTTGCCCCGCGCCTCCCGCCCCGACTGGAAAAGTGGTTTTGATGAGCTGTTGGCACCGCGGGCACCACCTCTGACCTTCAGGGACATCAGAGGCAAACCCCGCCGGACCCCGGAGTGTCAGAGATGACACATCCGCATCCTCCCGCTTCCTCCGGTGGTTACATTTGAAATTGGCAGCGCCAGCCCAGGTTCCGCTGGGCGATGGATGGGCGGGTACACACTGAGTCTTTTACCCCAGCCCTTGTCAAAGGCCCGGCTGCAACCCGGGCAGACAAACCAGGATCCCTGCCTCCGCTCCTGCCAGCCGATCCGGAGGGGCATGGTTTCCTGGTTTCTAGGCATTTGCTTTCCAGTTGACGTTGTCAGTAGCCTAAGAAATGGGGAGTTCGGCCGAGATTTCTCAAACTTCTGTTTCTTCAAGGCAAATTAAGCCATGACCTGGTGGTCCAAACTAATGGCCCAGTCGAATGGAGCCTAGACCTGCTAGTTGCTTATCTCTGTTTACTCAGTAGTGTGACTTTAGAGATGTTGGATGTGTTGGAAAAGTCCATGCTACTGTTCACCATACTGCAGGTATGTTTTTGGAAAAAGAAAAAAAAAAAACTTTATTAAACTGAGTAACTTTCAGTTTGTCCCGGAGAGGTGCAAGAGGAGAAACCTGGTTTTTCACTTTGCCAGACACACAGCAAACACAACGTGATCAATACCTGCAGAAAGACGGAAAGCTCCTATCCTATTTTAGAATCCCATTTAACGTAAATTTCAGGAACATAAACGATGCATGACTGCAAAGTAAGCACCATGTGGCCTTGTTAAGAGCAGAGTCATCCTTTACATATTTTTTGAAAGCTTTTTCTTATACTTGTGGTTAGTTTTCAACACTTATGCAGTCCTCTCCCCACCAAAAGAAGTAATAATAGTAAAGGGCTCTGAGTAGTGAAATGTTGACAGTCCTTGCTGATCATGCAAATATAGCTTATTTCATATTTCTAGGAAGATACAAG